CAGCTGCTCCATGTCCAGGTCCAGGGTGTCACTGATGTAAGACTCGCGGTACTGCTTCTTCTCTGCAGGGTGGCACAGTGTCACCAGCCTGTACCCAGATCCTCCAGGCTGCCCTGGAGCCTCCCAAGAGGGCATGGACCCCCCTGGCACCCAGGGGCATTGGCACCCAGAGTGGTGGCACATCTGGAGCCAGTTGTGTCCCAGTGGCATTTGGGGGTGGTGGAGTGGGAGGCCTCAAACTTGCTGTGCATAACCTCCCTCAAAGGAAGAGGAGGAAGAAGAGAAGGAGAAAGAAGAGGTGAGGAAGAGGAGGAAGAGGAAGAGGGAGAAAATTAGGTGCAGGAAGAGGAGGAAAAAAGAGAGGAAGAAGATGAAGATAAGAAGGAAGATGAGGAAGAGAAGGAGGAAGAAGAGGTGAGGAAGAGCAGGAAGAAGAGGAGAAGGAGAAAGAAACTGAGGAGGAGGAAGAGGAAAAAAGAAAGGAGGAAGATGAAGATAAGAAGGAAGAAGATGAGGAAGACAAAGAGGCACAATAAAATGAAGAGGATGGGGAAGAACAGGAGCAAGATGAGGAGGAAAAAGAACAGGAAGGGTATGTGGAAGATGAGAAAGAAGAATGGGAAAGAGGAGGAAGAGTAAGTAGAGGAGCAGGAAGAGGAGGAAAAAGAGAAGGAAGAAGAGGAGGAGGAAGAGAAAGAGGACGAAGCGGAGGAGGGGAAAACAAAAGAAGAGGAGGAAGATGAGGATGAGGAAGAAGATGAGGAGGACAAGGAGGAAAAAGATGTGCAGGATGAGGAGGAAGAAGATGATGAGGCAGATGAGAAAAGAAGAAGAGTAGGACAAGGAGAATGAATAAGAACATGAGGAGAAAGATAAGGAAGAGAAAAAGGAAGATGAAGAGGGGAAAGAGGAGGAAGATCTTATGCATTCACAAGGGCTTTCTGAGCTTGGAGATGGGATGGGGAGCACTGGGAAATGCTGCACTGAGGTACTGGGAGGAACTGGGCTGTGAGGGACAGCAGCAGGGCTTGTGCCCATCCCTTAGCATCTGGAGGGGCTATGGGCAGCCAGTCCAGCCAGGAGAGGATTATCCTGTCGGGCAAGGACAAGGTATGGGGTGCAGACAAGGAGGACATAGGGACAGCCACCCCCAACACACTCCCAGTCACAGGACTGGCACAAGGACCAGGAATGATGGGTGCCCATTCCCAGAGGGATTTGGGTCCTGGGGGACCTACCCTCGTTCTCCTCCAGCCTGCGGACCTGGCGCAGGACAGGCTGCAGGTTCATGTAGAGCCTGTGGCTGCTGCTCAGCAGCTGCAGGAGGTGCCTGGAGCGCAGGGGACAGCCTGTGTAGTAGATGAGTTTCCTGGCCGAGGGAAGCCCATCTGGCAGGATCTCAAACTTCTTGCCCTGTGTGGGAGAAAGGAGACATCAGGCCTGGAAAGGAAAATGCTGCAATTCTCACCCAGTCCTGCTGCAGCACATTGTTAGCTTTATGGATTGCAATCACCCGCTCGAGGTCTGCAACAACACCACATGCCCAAAGCAGAGCCCAGGAGATGCTCTGCCTGTGGATCATGGAATCACAGAATGGTTTGGG